AGAGAGAGAGAGAGAGAGAGAGAGAGACTTGACAAAAATTAAATAGCATTATACCAAAAATTATAATATAAATAAGTAAATTTGTTAAATTAAAACATGATCCAACATTTTATATAATTTCATTATATTTGAGTGTTCAAAGATGACAATAAATTCATCATAAAGAATGTTACCCTAAAATACATCAGCATTTACCTAATTCTACAGATTAATTAAGCTCAATGTATATGTACATGATACTGATATATATACCATGTTTGTGTACGTCTATCACATCCACGTAATCCATGTCCACACAGACAGTATCTACTGTAACGCTGCCATTTACGCGCACTCGGTTGATATTCTCGCATATTTCTACCGCGTGGTAAAATTGTCACCAGTTTATTGTTGTTAATATAAATACCACGATTAGTATATCTGAATTTACTAATACAATTATTTATAATGATTAAATAATATAGTTTAATAAATTGTTTGTAATTTTATTTACCGTAAATTTCATGTTTGTTTATAATAATATTTTCTACTCAACCATATTTGTGTAAAATAAATTTTAATGTAAGTGTAATTAATTCTATTTTGTAATGTTGATATTGATAATTATTTAAAATAACATACATTAATTAGTAGCTGGCAAAATGAAAGGCTTATTATTAATTTAAACCATCGTAAAATAAAGTGCATAATTGACATAATTGATTATTATTATTATTAAACTTTTTATTCACACAATATTTATTAAAATTAATGACAATAATGCAAAATAATAGCAAAATACTAATGAAATTCATACAAATGTTTTATCTCCTGCAAACTGTAAATTTTGATAATAGTTTTATAATATACTTAATATAATCACATATTAAGTATACATTGGATTAAACGACCACATTAGTTTTGTTAGGTTAATAAAGTGTATTTATTTTTTAATTAAACTTTTTTAATGTTAATCATGTTTAATAATGCATGAACACATGTAAAAAATGAAATAACTTATAAAATAATATAATAACTAAGATCAGTTGGCCGTAGATAAATATTGACAATAAGATAATAAATAGTGTTATATAAATATAAATCAGAATAGAACAAATATAAACAATCTAGAAAGAATACAAATTAAATTCTTACAAATGTTTTAACTTGTGCAAACGGTAAATTTTAATAATATTGTCATAATATAATTAAACAATCTTACATTAAACATACATTGGATGGCATATCCAGCCTGTTAATAATAACATTATTTTGCTAACTTAATAAATTGTAATTATTTTTAATTAAAATATTAAATGCAAATAAAATTTAATAATGCATGAACACATAATAAAAAGCAAAAATATAATTATATAAAAATAACATAAATAACAGTACAATGATTAAGATTATTTAAGCATTGGTAAATTATTGACCATAGCAAATTGTATCAGCAAAAAATATAAATCAGGATAGATCAAACAATCTGATCTAACACAAAGTGCAAATAATCATACATGCTCAAAATGAACCAGGAAGTCGCCAGGGTGCTTGACCAGCCACAGTAGCCCCACCATAAGTAACATTAGCCAGATGATGGGTGCATACCTTACCAGTCAAGCCCTTGCAGGTGAGTGCGGCTAAACAGTTGCCTATTTTCTTACTTTTGACGCACTGTAACAATTCGCTCCGGCAGTCGACCGCCCACTTAAAGCCCATACAGTCGACAAACCGGACGAACTCGAAGCCAAACCGCATGAATAGTTCGCCAAATGTTTGAATTATGGCGAATATATCGGGAATCGGCGGTCGTATGGTGGGTGTCGGGACAGTGCCGTTGGCCGTTGGTATGCCCGGCAGTGTGGGTAGGGCTGGTAGTGTGGGTAGGACTGGGAATGATGGCGGTGGTAGGACAGGTTGGCCTACACCGGGTGGTACGATAACAGGTGATGATCCGGGTGCTGGTTGCGACCCTGGTGGAACTCCTGGTACTGGTGGTGGTACTGGTGGTGATCCTGGTGCTGGTTGCGATCCTGGTGAAATTCCTGGTACTGGTGGTGATCCTGGTGGTGTTGGTGATCCCGATGGTATTACTGGTGTGCCGGTTAGGAGTAATGGTGGTTGAGTTGTTACAGGTGTGACCGAAGCATTATTAGGGATCTGACATTTGTTGGGCGCCGTATTAAACAGTATTATAATTGCCAATAGTATGACTATAGTAAATGTTAATTAACTAGGTTAATTATTAATTTAGGATTTAATGTTAACATACCCTTCATGGTTCTCAATGATAGTTGGCTAATTTACTTATTGTAATAATTTTATTTAAAAATGTAGAATTTAGTTGTAGTTATTTTAATTAAAAGTATTACAAGTTTATACTTGATAAACACTTTTAGAAATGGACTAAATTGTGATATGCTTGTCGGTATTTATTAAAATATTTCACCTAATTTGTATAAACATTATAAATTGTTTACGTTGAAAATATTTGTGATTAAACGCGGTAATCACCAGAATGTTTCTATTATACTTTTGTAATATATTGTAATATACTTTTGCAATAATTTAAAATAGTACAAAGATTTATCATTAGCTCTTCAACCAGCTTAATCATTATTTATTAATAATTTTATGTAGGTTTATTTATTTTATGTTTTAATAATTGTTGCAGTCTAGATGAGAATACTTTCATTTATGTATAATATTATTTTTAATATTAATTAATTGTTTGTTATTTTACCGTAAATTTTAATGTGTGTTTACAATGTATTGCATTATATTTAGTTAGAATAATAATATATTATCACGAATTATTAACACAAGTTGTAATATAAACTAATTGGCTATAGAGCTGAGTTTGTATATAATCCTTTAAAAACTCACATATAGGTGCATTAAAATTTATTTATCAAAAATATATAATAATTTATTTCATAGTCCAAATATAGTTGAATAAATAAGGTTTATAAAAATAAGTTAATAGATTTTATTAATATTTTAATTACAAATTTAAAAACGTACTAAAATAACATAGCACATAATTTATAATAAAGATATGGCAGACATTTTTAGCATAAAACAACATATTTGCACTATTACAATCTGTTTCATTACAAACTATTTTAGAAAAAATATAATCTTATTATTGTACTTTAATTAACCCGTGATAGAGAATAACGTAAGTAATAAACATAAATTTAACTAAATAATTTAATACAATTTATTTATGATATTTTTAAATAGTAAAAGTATAATATACAATATGATTAATATTGTACCAATTATACTTTGTTTAATAATTGGGCACACAAATGGCAATCGAGGTTGTTTATACGAAGCGCAAATGCGGCCATGTTCATGCCACACTGACTTTGATCAACCTAGCTGGATTTGCACTAGCTCAGGAATCCCCGCCTTTAACAACTTCAGCAAAAGTGTACCTGATGATAAAAAGGACATGGGTAAAATCAGTTTACTTAAAACAAACATGGAAAAATTACCAGCGTACATGTTTGGCGATTTGAAATTTAGCAATATAACAATACGTCAAAATATGGGGCTAAAGAATATTAACAGCCATGCATTTGTCGGTCAGGATTGTCGTGAATTTGTATTGCAAGACTCACCACAATTGCAACATAAATCTGGCAACGCTACCGACGGCACTGATATATTTGCTATTATTAATCAGTTTAAATCATTAATCGTGGTGTATTTACATAATATTAACCTACAAACTATACCAGCGAACGCGTTTAATGGGCTAGATCATCTAGAGTTAATTTCGATAGATGGCGGTACTATTAAAACAATCGGTGAAAGGGCGTTTTATGCGCTAAAATCGCTAAGATACCTTGGTATATCAGAAACTGGCATTGATCGAATTGAAACAAATGTATTGACATTCACAACAAATACATCGGAAATGTTGTTAAGTTTTGAAACAAGCCCATTTTTAGCAAGCAAAAATTTTGCCTACAACTCTCTTAGTAATACTGGCGCTAATATTAAGCTACATATTGGAAAGAATTATGAGGGCGATAG